CAGCCTCCAGAACTAAGAGAAATAAATTGCTGTTGCATAAGCCTTCTTTCTCTTATCCACACCCCAAAAAAGAAAGAAAATCATCTCTCTGAACGTGTTTGTATCACCAGACCTAACACCATGACACATGGCAGGTGTTTAGCAAAGATACGCTGAATTAATAAAAGTTCTCAGAAAAATTATATACACACACACACACACACACACACACACACACACACACACACACACACACATATGTATATAATTTTTAAATATCCAGAGCAGAAGGCATTCATCACCAGGCAAATTAAAATATCAAAATTCACTTTCACACTCTTTAGACAACAATCAAAATGGAAAGATTAAAAAATACATGTAAAACTCAATTCAAACTAAAGCAACAGGAAGGAGTACACTAAAGGTTTCTTCTCCTTAGAATTAGGGGCCCTTAAATTGCCTCTGCATTCTCAGATGGTGCAAGAAATATGATACTCCAATTTATTCAAGGTACTAATTGTGCTATTAAGATTGCATTCTTTCTTCTTTCTTCGGAATTAATCAGTGGGCCAGAATTTTGGTGAGAAACTTCTCCAATTTTATTTTATTTTATTTTATTTTATTTTATTTTATTTTATTTTATTTTATTTTTTAAATTTATTTTTTTTGAGACAGAGTCTCGCTCTTTCACCAGGCTGGAGTGCAGGCACACCATCTCAGCTCACTGCAACCTCTGCCTCCTGGGTTCAAGCAATTCTCCTGCCTCAGCCTCCTGAGTAGCTGGGCCTACAGGTGCACTCCACCATGCCCAGCTAATTTTTGTATTTTTAGTGGAGATGGGGTTTAACCATGTGGCCAGGATGGTCTCGGTCTCTTGACCTCGTGATCCGCCTGCCTCTGCCCCCCAAAGTGCTGGGAGGCCACTGTGCCCAATTTTAATAACATACTGGAAATCAAAGATACCTTAATTCATAGGTGTACTCAGATGTACAATTCAAAGTTTGTCAAACCTGTCTCTCTGGAAATGTTTTATTTTTCAGGAGAAAATTTTTATAATGGGGGGATTGAGAGGAGACATAGGTAAAACATGAGATTAGGGAAGGGAGTGATTTGAAAGATATGGCCTGAGACATGACCCAGATCACAGATGAAGGAATCTCATATATTTATTGCTCCTTAGTTTGTCTTGCTGAGAAAAATATATTAATTACACCACCTTTATGACCATCATAAAGGCCACCACATCCCCACATCCCCACATCGTTTTTACAAGCTAATATTACAATGATCTCTCAGGGGTACTTAGAGAACCACTTAATATTTGTGAAACTCTTGTGAAATATTCAGAAAGACACGGAGTCTTTCCATTTTCAGTTAGTTACCCAGGGTTTTATGGTAGTACTTTGAACCATGAACAGCTTTGTCAACTCTCTTAGGCCCAAAGCAGAAAATGTTGTGGACAGAGAAATAATCTGATTCAATTATGAATATAGTTTTCTTACATAAAGGATAAATCTGCAATTTAAACATTCTGAAACTTTCACTCCTAAAGGCCTTATATGGCATTCTATAAAAATACATTTGCTTAAAAATTCCAGTTAGCATATCAGAAATAACAATATTTATAAGAAACATCCCCTTATCCTGAAGTACAAGGACAACTGTAATGTTCTTGAGTTTAGTAAAGAAAGTGAGTTATACCTTTTTATAATACGAGAGGAAGTTCTAATGTCTTTCAGAGAAGAGTTAATCATGTTAATTCCATTCAGAATATATATGCTTTATATTAAACATATGTTTAAATAATGTATGAATTATGATTATTGCTGAGAGAATAAATATCTTAGGAAGTGGCTGATAGACAAAAGTGATAGGTAGTCTAGCAAGAGCTGGAGTCTCCATATATAGAAAAATGGATTGACAGTCTTAGAGAAAAACACATTTTGTGAAGGTTTTCACCCTCTGTCTTCATTCACTAGCATTTGTATGAAGTAAATCATCACTACTTTTGGGGTAGACAGATATATCAAAATCTGTTGGCAGAGCTGTTGCTTTGGCTAGGCATTTCAAATTTCCTTTTTTTAATATATGAGAACTATGATTGCTATATAGCATGAGTCTATGAATACAATGCTACCACCTTCTTCAAATGAAGTGAAAAACATGCCATTTCACTTTTCTCCTACATACATATTATAGAAAATTCCCTTTGTTCAAAATAAAAATTCATAGAGGGAAAAGAAGCAAACACTTCCATTTAGCTGAAATACTGAAATTGCATGCAATCTCTTAAGGTATGCTGTTTTATTTACTTTCAAGCTTGACATTTCCATTTGTTGCTCTTCAACACCAGTTTCTTGACTCAATTCAATCAGCTGAAATGTGCCATTAACAATAATCAATAGTTTCAGTAGTTTACCGTTTTTACCATGGCATCTCCAAGTCTTTCATCAAAAGATCGTTATCCAACCATCTAACTAAAAATCAGAGTTGGCTATAAATGTCATTTCATTCCATAAAATGTAGTTTAAACCTTAGGCAAGTGGGATTTATAGAAAACACAATATTAGCTGCCAGGGAAGAGGGAAACTGTCTCTGTTTTAAAATAATTTTAGAATCTTAGTTAACCTTACTATAGTTAAGAAGCAAATGTTGAGGTTTTCAGGAGCTCTATGGGAGTTTTATCTGGTTTTGAGAATAAATATAGTTTATCACTTTGGGGTTGAGGCAGTAAAAAGCCCCTGCCTTATTCCCAAACTCTCTCTTTTTCTACCTCAGGTACACTGAAAGTTGCGTGTAATATGTGCCCTAGCTCAAAGACGGAAAAGAGTAGCCTGATCGACATTGGACTTTATGTGAACAACAAATAAACTTTAGTTTGATTAAGCCACTGGACAAAAACAAATAAATACATATTCTTGAGTAACATAGGATAAGCTAAGACATTTTCTCAGCATGATTTCCAACTGCTTTTGAAAGAGAGATCAGAAATCTAAACATAAAGTATTTATTTTCCATGCTTCCATAGTAAATATAGTTAGGACACATGGTGAATCTTCCCTTTAGTGATTCATAAGCTTGCAGTTTCTCAAGATTAGAAATACAGATAAATTTTCATTATGTAATACAGCAGATATAAATACAAATTGTATAGTAGAAAATAGATGTGTTTTTGCCCTCAACTAGAATTATTCACTACTTAAAGAGATGTTTTATTAAGTGCCGGACATCAAATAATTTTTTAGTCATTGGGCTATTCTTTATTTTTCAAAGTAATCTGCTAAAAATAGACTTAACCAAAGTTTATTATTTACCTATCATAGCTGACGAGTAAAATGTAAACCCATGTTGTTTTGTTTTGTTTTTGTTTTAGTTTTTGAGATGGAGTCTCACCTCTGTCACCCAGGCTGGAGTGCAGTGACACCATCTCTGCTCACTGCAACCTCTGCCTCCCGGGTTCAAGCAATTCTCCCACCTCAGCCTCCCAAGTAGCTGGGATTACAGGCGTGGGTCACCACACCTGGCTAATTTTTGTATTTTTAGTAGAGACGGGGTTTCGCCATGTGAGCCAGGCTGGTCTTGAACTCCTGACCTCAGGTGATCCAGCCGCCTCGGCCTCCCAAAGTGCTGGAATTATAGGCATCAGCCACCGCATCTGGCCAGGAAACTCATGTATCTATTAAAATTCTGGAATGGCTTTATCAGCATTTGCAATATTATACAATAAAATTTTATTTATGAAATAGCCTAAGCCAAATATATTATAGTAGTACATTGTCTAACCATACATCTAAGAGTGAGCAAAAAACTCTATATTTGCATTGCCCTTATATTCTGTCACAAGCCATGGGAGATATCTATAAAGTCTGGTATTTTTCTAAACAAATTACCTCCAAATGATCAAACTAACTCAACATGCATTTTGGAGGAGAAAGTGGGGTCAAAGCAGGATGATGAAGCAAGAATGATAAATTCAGGAGCCATAAATTGCCAGTGTTACCTACTCCTATGCACCAGAGCAGCAAAGTAGATCAACTATCACATCAAAAAAGAAAAACAGGAGAAGGAGAATAATAGGAGGAAGAGAGGAGAAGAACTTCTGCTTATTGTGATTTGATTCTGGAATTATTTTTTCAAACTAGAATATACTATCATGTTTTTTATAATAATTTAAAAATATCAAAAAATAAAGTTAGTCTAAAAAATCAGTCATTTTATTATAATGATTTATATCCAAATTGTATTTGAAAGACTAGTACAGTTATTATATCAAGTCAGAAAAACCAACTATACATAACAAAACTCTATAATAGTTCAGGAAAATTATACCAGGTATTGCGAGTAAACTTTAAGAGCTTCCTTGTACTACAGAATATGATTCTCACCAAGACTCCATTTAAACAAAACTACCCCAAACTCTGTTTTCACTGTTTATGCATATGGAACTTTATGGAAATAATTTTTGTTTCTAGGAAAAACAATTGTCTGAAAATTGTTTGATCATTAACTATGACAAATTTAGCCATCTCATTCTTATTTTCACAGATCATGTTAGGAAGAAAGCTACAAAATGCCAGATTAACATTTCAAAACATATTTGAAAGTAATGAAGGGAAACTGATTCAGTTAGCAACGCTAAATAAAACAGACAATTCATACAGATGCTTTCCCTGTAAAATATTAAATAAACACTCAAAAATGTCAACTTTTAAAATTTAATAAACCAATCCCTAAGTTATTTCTCTGAGCAAAGTTTCTCCTTGACCGAAGCTCTGGTTTTATATGCAAATGTTTTTCGGATCAGAGCATGTACTTTTTCTAAGATGAGGATGTTAAGTGGAATTATAAATAATGTTTCCTTCTCTCTCTGCCCCTCTCCTCCTTGTCCAAATGCCGAAATATATCAGGCTGTATAAAAGCAACTATTTTGTTTTGTCCCTGGCTTGTCAGTTACAAGTACAAATGCTGAGAATTGTTCAGTTGGATCCACAAGAGTGCTAAAGCGGAAATGCTTGACTTACTTGCCATTGTTTCATCAGCTCTTTTACTCCCTTGGAGTCTTCTAGGAGCCTTTCCTTACGGGTAGCATCCTGTAGGACGTTGGCAGTTGTTTCAGCTTCTGTAAGCCAGGCAAGAAACTTTTCTAGGTCCAGGGGGAACTGTTGCAGTAATCTATGAGTTTCTTCCAAAGCAGCCTCTTGCTCACTCACCCTGCGAAGGAACAAATGTTCAGATGCAGTTATTAAATATCAGAATGGTACACCTAGTGAACTCCACAAAAAGAGAAAGATGGAGGAACTAAATTGTAATATACCAACAATGGGGTGAGTTGTTGCTACAGCTCTTCCTTTAAGCAACAGCTATAATACTGTGCAGTCTATTTACTTTCATTTTTATTTAACTTAAAGGCATTTGTATGGGGGAAGGCATGCAATAATGACAATCACAGATTTCTATAAACCCCTCTCCACAGAGGAGGTTATATATATATATATATATATATATATATATATATATATAAAAATATATATATATAAATATATATAAACATATGTGTATATATATGTGAAATATATATATATTTGAACATTTGCAAGTTCATTTGAAAGTTCAAAGTATCTTTTTTCAATTTTGTAGTTTTTGTTGGTCAATTTTGAAGGCTTATTTTTAATATACTGCCAAATTTGAGACTAACCTTTGAGGTTAAAACCCTAAAATCCCTGTACCATGCTTGTCTTTGATGCCGCTCTGAGGCAGAAAACAAGCATTTGATATGCAAGGAGAAAAGTCAAGAAAATACAAACCTAGAGTCAAAAGGAAAAGACTAGAGGAAAAGACAAAAAGAAGGGGATTGGAGGGCAAAGGAAGAAAGACTAACAAGTAGAGAAATAACATGTCATAGAAACTATCATTTTGTGCAAACTATCATTTTGCATGACTCCAGTTATACCTATTGTGTTATTTTTGTATTTAATTACTTGATCATACAACTGAGAACATTTTCCAAAATAAAAATGTTATGTGTAACAAAAAAGAGTAGAGCCTTAAAACCAGGCAGATCTGAGTTCAATTCCCAATGTTCCTTACCAGTTATGTGATATGGCAAGTTACCTCTCTGATTCTCAGTTTCTCATCTGCAATATCTATTGCTGTGATGAGAATTAAAATAGAAAATTCCTGTGAAGTTGAGTGCCCCACACGTTATACAGTTATACATTACAGTTACTCAAAAACGTTAGTTCCTTCTACCCATATCCCATTTCCCCATTCCTGTAATATTTTAAAAGGATGAAACAAAATCTTTCATGACAAAAACTCTAAAAATGTATTCATATTTTTGATCATATATATAATGCATGTATTGTGGATACATACACATATGCCCTCAGCAAATATCTATATAATAATAGCTTAGAAAGGAAAATTGCCTTAGGCATTAACAGTCCCATCGAAAAAGATTCAGGTAAACTTTGTCTGCAATGAGGAAATTAGTACTCTATTTAAATGTCTTATTTGCCTTCTATTACTACACAAACACTTTCTGGGATTAAACATAAGCTAAAAATGGATTTTAAAAAATTGAACACTTGAATATGATACACATTGCTTGTTAAGATGCGATTGTCAATAATTATGCAAAACTGCAATTTATTTCAGCAGCAACTTTATCATGGGATGTGCAAACCAGGCAATAAACAACTGCTGCCGAGCCAGCGGCGGCAAAGCCCCCGGAAGAGCTGTTTATTCATCATGGGTGAGGTTTTTGCTGAGCACACAGTCTTCCACAGTGGAGTTTCAGTGCTCATACTGGATAAAAATCTTCCGTCTGCATTAACTGGTGGAGGGTAGAATAGGTTTATGAGGATGCAGCTACTGGAAAAAAAGTAAGCATTGCACTAAGCTATTTATCAACTCCTAAATAAACTTTAATACTGCACAGCTGAAAGGTAGCGTAGGCTTCTGGTTGGGCAAATAAATTAAACCTCGTGTAGTTCAAGGGCTAACGTGGACTGCCGGCTCCCTGTTTATCTAGTTTTCAGGCAAACTATCAACGCAAAGAGAAATATCAAAATAGTCATTTATCTTTTTATTTATTACGGTTGAAAAATTCAGAACCATTGCAACAACTCCAAGAATCTCGATGTTACAATTGGGCATGCACCTTACAGTCTGAACCATGTGTAACTTCTGACAATTGACTGGATTTGACCTACAAAAGTGGCAGTTTCATGCAGTTTGCATTAAGACTTACTCCATCTCCAGTGCAAAATTTGGAACAGAAATAGGCTGTCGCATTCCAGCATATAAATGCAGGGCTAGACATTTGACATATTTTCTAATGTAGTCCCATTTCAAACAAAATTTAAAAATATGAAATCTCCCATGGCAGAGTGAAACTTAGAGAATGTAATATTGTGCATTTTATCAGCATCAGCTTCATGATGAGTTGCGCTTGCTACATCTTAGCTCCTCTATCCTTAAACTAGAAATGCTGCTTACCCTCTGCTTCCAGAGGAAGTAACTAGTAAATAACTTTCCAAGAGTTATTTGCAAAATGCAATGCACATAAATCAGATGAAAGAGTTCTACCGAGACAATGCGATTTTCAGCCAAATCCTACCAGCAAGTTTGCTGCTTTGTAAATTAGGTCCTTAGGGAAGAACAGTAACTCTTTCAGGACAGTAAGGAACCATTTTCCTAAATGATACCCTTGTGGTCTGAAATATTGACAACATCAGGCTGAATATTTTCTAATTTGGAAAATACGTTAAAAATTCAATGGCAATAACAGCAGAAAATTTCCTCAAATGAGCTCCTTTACATGCCTCTTTAATAATAGGTAAGACTGTTGTTTCCTGCTTGTGTGCGGGTTTTATGGCTTCAACATTTCTCTCGGAATGTGTGTGTGTACACTGAATTCCTAAATTTTAATTGTGCCAGGTCTAGTCTAGAATGAATCAAGAATACTTAATTTCCATATCTGTGCATTCAACATGTTCTAAATGTATCATATAGTTTTAAATTTTCCTGAGCCATATGGGTTTAAATGGCTTATATGATAAATAAAATGTAAAAATAAGAATCATAAAGAAAAAAAAGATATGTTTAGAAAAAAAAAACAAAGTTCTTGAATTAGATTTTTTTTAATTGCTTCTTCCCAGTTATCAAACCACAGGCCCTGGAGAAAATTTGGCTGAATTTTAAAAGTAACAATGACCAGATATTAGAAACTGTAATAATGCTTTGCAAACAGAATCTACTGTATTGGTTAAGTACTTTTTTACATAACAAAGTTTTATAATCAGCTATTCCAGCTTTATGGTGCACAAAAATAGCTGAGAATTTGATGGAGTAAGGAGTAATGTGATTTCAGAAGGTTTTCATTCTATTCATAAGAGCACTGTGTACCGTTCTCAGTATGTAAATAAGGGCAGCCTGAAACAGTGTTCTCATAGTCCATGGACCAGCAGCACCAGCATCGTCTGAGAAGTTATTAGAAATGCAAATTCTCAGGCCTCAGCCTAGCCCCGCTGAATCAGAGACTCTGGGTAAAATCCAGCAAGCTATGTTTTAACCAGCCTTCCAATATATGCTAAAGCTGGAGAATCACAGTTGCCAGAGACCAAATTTGAGAACGACTGGTGTAGTAGATGCTAAGCTGGGCTGCCCAGACCCCTTTTCAGGACTGAAATACTTCTGACCCCAGCTGCTGGTAGTGCTACTGGCTGATAGTCCTCAGCTGTTATCCCTATTTGAGAGTTGGCCTCAGCTAAAGAGAGGTGCCTAGCCCAAAGTTACCCACTATGTCCCCGAGATGGGCTGCACGTATTGGTTGATGGGAGAGTTGTGTGGTATGAAATCCTGGGTCCCTTGCTGCAACTCAGGACAATTCTGAAGGGCTATCCTACCTTCAGACTTCAGAGATCCTCCTGGGGAAGGCTAGGAAGGAGAGGCGGAGGGTTGATTGTGTTGTAGTCGTGACTGTATGGTAGCCCAGCTTCTCCTGCCCAGTCTTGCTCCCGCGCCTTGCCTCCCTTCACAGGTGTTAATCCTGAGAGCACTCTCCAATAAAATTCCTTCATGCTAATCACTTTCTCAGAATCTGCTTTCTGGGAGAAACTGACCTCCTGAATTTTCACGCTGAACAAGGATTTTACAAATATACTTGCCTAAGAAATATATGTGGTCTCCAAAGGGAACAAGATGGAGGATTCTCACATGCAGTAATTGTGCCTGAATTGCTACTGCACTTTTGGTTGCCCTTTAAGGAAACCTATAGATAATGCAGGTTTGCATTATCATCAGTTACAAGCAAGAATCTACTGAAGGGGCAGAGTGTTGGAGCTATAAAGCTTAGTGCAACCCTATACCTGCCAAACAAAGTGTTTATCCAGAGACAATTTTGCAGGAAGGTAAAGAATCACAGAAGGCATGTTTTCAGCACATCCATTTTCTTTTTAAGACCTGATGATCAATAAGACAATCAGATAAGTATATTCTGACCTGTCATTAGAACCCTACCCCTGCCACACACACAGACACACCGTGGTATTTCTGAATAAATCTCTAAGACTCCATTGAGTTGAATATCTTCAATTTCTTATCCCCAACATAATACATGAAAAGGAAAAAGGAAGGCAGATCTAATGTGCAGCATGGAAGATAATTTTTAAAGCTAACATCCACATAACTCTTTATATGTTTTCAAACATATTCAGAGTTATTCTATCGTCACTTCATGTTTTCCATTTTTCTACCTACCTTCTTTTTCTTTGTATACTCAGCTGGTTATTGCATTCTCTGCCAATGGCTTTAAACTCGATACTCGTTACTTTCCAAGGTAAGCCTAAAGAGCTTAATTATTGTATAGACACTATTCTACTATTAGATATATGGATGAAAAATACTTTATCAGTGCATTCTATTGTGGGATTCTAAGTGTGTAGGTATAACAGAAATATATTGAGTATTTTTAGAAAAAGGCTCAATCTGATATGAAAGGTTATTTTGCCCAGGTTATTTTTAAAATGTGATAAATTAGGAACGTTCAAAGAACTCAGTCTTCTGCTAAATAACACTTTCACTATGTCCTGGCATTCTTAGAGAGTAACCACATAAAATACTCTAAATCTTTCCTTCATAGTTTATTTGCAATTTAGCCACTATAATTTCCTATGATATTTTAGGAGAAAGATTAAAGAACCATTATT